GTCCGCGCCCGCCGCCGCCGCGCGCCCCGCTCACCTGCACGCACAGCAGCAGCAGCAGCAGCGGCAGCCGCAGCCGCAGCCGCCCGGGGAGGCGCCCCCAGCCGCGTGCCCGCATCGCCGCCTCGACCCCGCCCGCGGCCCCGCCGCCGCCGCCGCCGCCGCCGCCCGCGCCCGCTACGGCCGCCGCGCCGGCCTCCAGCGCCCGCCCGCCCGCCCGCCCTCCGAGCCCGGCGGCGCACAGGCGGCGGCGGCCGCACAGGCGGCGCGGGCGGGGTCGAGCAGTGCGCGCGGGCTGCGCGGCGGGCGTGCAGGAGAGGCGGCGGCTCCGGCTCGCTGCGGCCGCGCTCCGGCGGCCGGCCCGGCTCCCACCCGGCGGCGGCGGCGGCGGCGGCGACGGCGGCGGGTCCCGGCCTCGGCTCTGCGCGCCCGCGCTCCCGGCACCGCAGCCAACAAGTTCGGGACGAGACTGACAGCTCGCTCGCCCATTCGTCACCCGCGCACCTGCATATTCATGAGGGGGCGGGGCCTCGAGGTGGGGTGGGGCTGTGGGGGGGTTCTGGGGGCGCCCCGGGCTTTAAAGGAGGCGAGGGCGCGGTCTGCGCGCGGGGCGGCGGGGCGCGGGGCCGCCGAGCCGTGGCTTCTCCTGCGCCCAGGCTCGCTGAGGTGTGGCCTCTTCTGCTCCAGAATTCTCGCCCGGGTTAATAGCATAGGAGTGGGGCGCCCCCTGAGGTCACCGTCATGGTCCCCTCCCATCAGAGCGCAGCCACTCTTGCGCTGCTCTTGGTCGCAAAGGAGATGCTGCCTGCTGTACGCATCAGGATTTTAGTCCCCACGCAGGGCGGGTGGGGCTCTGGGACTCGAGTGAGCCCAACTCCTGGTGCGCCCCCTTCCCCGAAGAATCTCCCCGGCTCCTCAGCCTCCTGCGGCCTCCACGCCGGCTACAGGGGGCGCTGCTCCCCTCCGACGCCCAGCCCTCCCCTCCTCCAAGCGCACAGGTTGAATAGCCAGTCAACAAATGCTCCTTCCTGCAGGCTCTTTCCAGCTCTGAGCTGAGGTGGAGGTGGACATCGCTAGACTCTGTATCTTCAAGGAACTCGCCGGCCAGAGGTCCAAATATGGGGGAAAGGAAACGGGGATGAAGGACAGTGGTCCATGCCAAGAGAGATACCCAAAGAGGATTCTCCAGCAGTCTGGATGTCTAGGTTAGCCTGGGTATCCCGCCCCTCCACTAACATCTCTTGAGCCTGTTCCTAGGTGATCACCTCCTCCACATGTCTACAAACCGCCTCTGTTCCACTCGGAAGGGCCCCTTTCAGTGCCAGTGATAACCTCAGTGATTAGAAATCCCCACAATGGGGGTGGTGATGTGTTTGTTACCCTGCCCTGCAAGACCCCACAATAGCTGAGTTGTCCTCTCTCTGAGGGTCCTCTCCCAAGTTTCCCCCTCCTGGATCAGGGCACAGTCGGAGGACTTACTGGGGGACGGAGAAGTTCTGACACCGATGACTCAGAGGCACAGTAGACGTGGGCAGGGGTTACCATACCCTTGTCCCCTGGACACTGCCTGGCAGCCTACACAGGGAACAGAGCCCTGGTCCAGTTCGCCTGCCCTACCACTGTCTAGTGGCTCTCTAAGATCTCCTGCAGAAAGACGTACCAGGGTAACGGGCGGCCCCGCGGCCCTCATGCTCTGCAGTGCTCCTGGCTTTGCACACTCCATGTTCCCACCCCAACCTGAGCCCAGGGAGCCCACAGGCAGGTAGGCTGGTTGAGGGATAAGACACAAGCCAGGCCTGGCTACACACAGAGTCACCCCCCACCAAACGGTGGATTTGGAGCCTGTTAAGTCTTCCTGACGTTTGCATCCTTCAAGAGAACTTTCCCTTTGCAGACCCGGCCTCACCTTCTGTCTGTCCTGGAGACGGAGGCCACAGAGGGCGGAAGAGTCTTAGCTTCCAACTTGCCTGTGTTTACCACCTCTGTGAGGCACCCAGACAAGCTGTGAACTAGACAGCCACAGCCCTGGCCTGCCAGCGGGGACCTGGGGTAAAGGTGGTTAATGGCTTAGACGTACATGTGCTAGGGCAGCAAACCGTAAGCGTCTAAAACCAGGTGCCTTTGCACCCCGCCCCATGAGATCCAGAGGGTGGGCAGCAAGGTGACCAGAAGGAATGCCGTGCCAGGGTTCTGGGGCTGAAAGAACCTGACAAAAGTGCCCAAACAAGGTGGGTGGTTATACTGCGGCCTTCCCGCTGACACGCTGGGGAAGTCACACCATGACTTACACTTTCCTCAAGACCCCTGGCTGTGGCGGCATGGAGGAGAGCAAGGCGGGGTCAGGGTGATGGGTCAGGGTGATGCCACGGTGCTCTCGGGAGACATGGGTGTCTAGGACAGTGTCTAGGGTGTCTAGGCAGCGTAGGGGCTGAGGAGAGGGAGTTCACCCCGGGGTGACCCTGCAGCACATCCCTATGTGTCTCCATTTCCTGCTGCCAGGCGGCAGCCCAGCAGCGCTGACACGGGCTTCTGTGTGCCTGTCTGACTCAGCCCTTCCCACCCCACACCCCCAAACCCTTGCTCAGAGGTGTGGGTACGGGGCCCAGGGAAGGACACACCTCCTAGGCACACAGGCTCCAAGGGGCTCTGTCCAACAGTACGCCTTAGAAATCGGGGCCATGTGGACCTGGCCCCCCACCCCCCCACACACCCTGGTCTATCCAGGCCCTTTGCGAGTGAGACCAGGGTCCCCTCGGGCAAATATTCAATACCTGGGTGACACACCTGCCATGACCAGATGTCATCACCACACTGGTGATGGCCTCTTCTTCCTCCTGCCTTCTGGGGGACACAACCTCACCTCCTGGTGGTGAGCTTTGTGAGCTGTCACTTGCATTGAGAGGGGCCCTCCCCTGGAAACCCCCTCCCTGCGCAAATTTTTCAGCCCTCGGGCAGAATTGCCTGGAGTGGATGGACTTGTATGTGGAGAACTATCACCTCACCCACCCTTCAGACCCTATGCTTGCCTTCATGCTGCGCCCACTGTAAAACTTGGGGGCCCAGGAACCCTGACCTGACCCTATGGTCAGCTGCTCTGCCTGTCCAGGAAGGCCTTCATCACCCACCAGGCATGGTACCCTTTGGTTTCCTGCCTGTGGTTCTCTCCAAGATCCTTAGCACTAGGGGTTCTGGTTTGGGGCATGTTCTGAATGAGTGGGTGCTTAGCTTGAGCTGGACAGGCACAGAGGGGCCTCAGCACCAGGCTGAAGGATGAGGCAGCCCAGGATTGGGATAGAGCTGGCTGGGCTTGGGAGTGAGCCATGCTTCCGCCCATGTCCTGGGATGCTAAATATAGCGGCCAGGGAGGGGAGTTTCCGGTTACAGCCCCCCCACCCCAAGCCGGGAAATCGATGCCAGCTGCATTAGGCCCAGCAATGGTGCCTGCCGACCTGCCCGCCAGGCTGCCGATCAGAGTGAGGGACTGGACTTCACCCAAGTCCAGGTGCCCTGACTCTTAACCCATCCTCCAGGCTGCCAGAGCCCTCCCCCACCCTGCCTGTCAGACAGCGAACACCCAAGGGCAATCCTGAGGGTCACAGGATTCCGATGGTGGGCATCAGACAGCTGCAGAATGGCAGGGCAGGATATAGATGGGAGTGGCTGGGTGTACTCCTGTCCTGGGACCATCAAGCTGAAGCCAGGTCAATGTGTCCCCTCCACCCCCCCCCCCAGTATTCAGCTCCTGGACACACACACCTAAGAACCCTACCAACCCCCCCCCCCAAAAAAAAGCTGTGGTTGCTTGTCTGACTGGGCCACGCCTAAATTGCTACATTTGCATACAGGTGGTGCTATCTGAGAAGTCCACATGCCACAGCCTCCTCAGGGTGGTGCCTCAATGTCACACCCACCTGGGACGGGGAGGGCATGAAGCCAGTGCCCCCATCCCCCAGGGCAGGGCAGGGGGCTGTAAGAGGACAGAGGGCCCAAACTAACCTCACCATCCCTATCTCAATTAGGATTCCAACACTTTAGCTCCTGGGGACACTGAGACACTGAGCCCCCGGACATGCTCACCTGAGCTCCATCCAGTTACAGGGGGAAGGGGGCAACCCTCCAGGGTACCTCATGGCTGTCATCAGTGGGCCATGACCTTGGCCGACCCCCAGGGTGTCATATAAGATGCTGACTGGGGTGTTTGAAGCTCTGGGGAAAGGCACAGCCCTGAAGCCTGACCTTACCCCTAAGACAGACCAATTTACAGACACCTTCCACAGGGGGTCCTTGTGTGCCTGTGGCCCAGGCAGTTGGCCGGGTGGGACAGCATGCCCTTTTGTTCTCGCTAGGCACTCTGGGGACCTGGAGGATGGCTCTGGCTATCAGGCCAGAGAGCAAGGAGGCCAGCAGCTTTGTGAGCCGTCACACTCCAGAGGCAGTCTATGCAAGGACCAGGCTGTCTCCAGCAAGGTGACTGCCGCAGGTGCTCACCATAGCCAAGCCTGCAGACGCTACTTGTGTCCTGCAGGCCAAGTGAGACGAACCCCCTCCCTGCTGGAGTCGTGGAGGGGGCACTGAAGACACCAGGTACAAAGTATTCCTGGGTGGTGGCAGTGTGGTTGTAGCCCAACCCCAGGCATGGCAGGGACTCTACATCTGCCCAGATCAGGGAGTACACACTCTCTGGAATGTGCGATACTGTACCCATTTCCTCTCAACTGAGGCCACGCTCAGTCTACTCCCGCAGACACAGCTCAGGCTGTGCACAGCGAATGGTGGCCCCTTCCAAGATGGAACACTTAACCGGGTCCCCTCCTGAGCTGGCTACTCCACCTGACCTGACAATACTATCCCAGACTTGTTGCACCAGCCCACTGACAAGACATCTGTCTTCCAGAGCATCCACTTGCACAGTCTGAAGAGAAACAGAGGGGTTTGTATGGAGACCTTCCTACCCCTCAAGACGCTGTTCCTCACCCCAGGTCACAGTGCTCAAAGCCAGTGGCCATCAGTGAAAATTATACAAGCTTTATTGAGTGTTCAGGGCAGGAGGCTGAATGGATGGGACCAGGCTGCCTAGCCCCAGGGTCTCACTGGGGACTCAGGTGGGGAGCCACCTGGCTAAAGAACCAAGAGATAGCAAAGATGACACCAAGAGTCTTGGGGACCTTTGGATTGTCTGCAAAGGCCTGGGCATCGTCCAAGTCCAGATGTACAACCTCGATGAGCTCTCCCTCTTCGGCCAGACCTCCACCGGGCCCTCGTCGCTGGGCATCTGTCACCTCAGCGTAGAACATGGTCTGCCTGGAGCCAGTCAGTCCTACTCCAGACCTGCCAGGTAGAACAGGGACTGCTGACACACCATGGTGCCTGCCAGCCAGCCTGCCTGCATGCTTCTGTCTGCCTTTGTGATGTGGCAGAGCTCCGAGTGGCTTCACCCTTCCCAAATACCACGCCTGGTGGGTACATCCACGTGCTGTGTGCCCCTGGAGTGGAGGGACCTGATGCATGGTGGGCACGCCTTCTGTCACCAGGCTGCTGTGTGGCAGAGGTGGAAACTCACACCAATTAGGAAAGGGACACACCAAAGTTATTTTTCTCCTTCTTCCTTCCTTCCTTCCTTCCTTCCTTCCTTCCTTCCTTTCTTCCTTCCTTTCCTTTCCTTCTTTCTTCCTCCCTTCCTTTCTTTCTTTCCTTCTTCCTTCCTTTCTTTCCTGTCTTCCTTCCTTCCTTCCTTTTTTTTTTGAGACAGGGTTTCTCTGTGAAACAGTCCTGGATGTCCTGGAACTTGCTCTGTAGACCAAGCTGGCTTCAAACCCACAAGAGATCCACCTGCCTCTGCCTCCCAAGTGCTGGGATTAAAGCTGTGCACCACCACTGCCTAGCTCACTGAAGAGGTTTTTAAGGTGAATTTGATAATTGGGCTGGAGAGATGACTCAGCCACCAAAGGCTAGACCCGCCATCAGACTGTCAAGATGAATATGACAACTGACATTTAGGGGAAACGCAACTGTCAGAGGCATCTTACATATATCCTGTACCCAGGACTCTGCTGAATCCATCCCAAAGGAGATGCCTGGATAGGCCTGGCCTAATTAGATGAACTCACAAGACAGCTCCAAGCTCAAAATGTGAAGAAGTCCAATAGTCTCTGCTAACACAAGCTGCTGTGTTGTAAGGAGACACATGGCAGGGACAGGCAGGCATCACTGGGGTCTAAGAGCAGTTCCTGGTCAACAGCTAGTCAGGAAACGGCCTCTAACCAACAGCCACGAGGGGCTGGTCTGCTACCTTTGCACCTGGATGGATCACAGATGTGGCTAGCCACCCTGAATGCAGCCTTTGAGACCCTGAGAGGAAGATGAAGGACCCTGAAAATAGACTGGACACGCAGAAGCCATGAGGTCGTAAGCAAGTAGCACAACAATAATACTGTGACAGGCCCTCAGAATCTGTCCCTTAGGCTCCTGTCCATGGCTCCTGCTGGGTACCCAGCCAGGGCCTCTGACTTCCATAATTGCTAAGGCCCAAGACAGCCTGGCCCACATCAGGGACTGCTGGTTGGCTGGGAAGCCATGGAGAAACCAGAGATGAGTGTGGTGGTGGGAATCACAGAGCTCCTTATACAAAGAACAGATTCCAACACTGTTCCAGACAGGTGGGAATCTCTCAGCAGGACACATTGTGGAGGCAGGAGCAGAACTGGGAACTACCCATGGCCTCCCAACCCCCCCAAAAGGAAGACCCCCCCCATCCAAGACTGATCATATCCAGCTACCTCTTTATCCCCACAAACCCCTGCCTGATGGCCCATTTTCCTGGTAGTCATGGCCTGCACACCCTGGTCTGCCGCCTCCAGCCTCGGGTTCCCTAACTTATGAGGGAGACAGCTCCAGCCTGTGCTCTGGACAGGCTCTAATCTTATTCACACGACAAGGCAACAATAGGAAAGCCCCTTCCTTGGCTTCCTTCCCTGGGCCTAGTCATGTAGGACTATCAAGGGAATGTGGCGGCTTACGTCTGGTCTCGGACAGGGAACCACTAAGTGGGAAGGCTCTGGTGTCCCAGTAAGGCCCATAGGAGCAGGTGCGCTGACCTTCACTTAGCTATACCCTCTTCAAAGTCTGAGTAGAGGGGACCGCTGCAGTACCTTCAGTCAGGACACAGCCCAGAGGCCTCACGTGGGAAATCTCTCATGACAAGGTTCCCCTGTCCTCAAACATCGGCCAGGACTGCCCCCCCACCCCCCAGGCTAACTTCCTTCCTGCCTTCCATCCCTGTCTGCTCCACACACTAGCCAAACCCCTACGAACGTCAGGCTCCTGAGATTCCCCTGAACACTGCCATGTTGCAAGCTGAAGGCTCCAGGCATCACCGGCTGTCCATAAGGAGGACCCAGAAAAGGGCACAGACCAGGCCTTCAGAGGCAAGACGGTTAGCACCGGATCCAACGTGCTCCAACCACAGCTAGTTGCTACAGAGTGAGATCCTCTGGGATGGACGCAAGGGGGTCCTGGCTGTGTGGAGCATGCCAGGACAGAGGCGCCGGGGACTCTGGTCCTTCCTGGTTGAAGATGGGCTCAACCTTGCGGGGTGATGGGCACCTCTAGATGAGCCTCTTTCTGCACTACAACCTCAGTGGCCAAGGGTCCACACAGCATCCCGAGGCAAGGGGCGGCTTCCCATTTGAGGAAGGTAGCCCTGGTTGGCTGCCTGAGGGAGGCATGGGCGGCTGGCACCTGGGCTTCAGTAGGGGTAGTCCCTCCTCCTCCCCCTCCCCAGGACCTGTCCTTCCCTCTCATTCCTGAGCCACCACGGGCTGAGAACAGAGCTGTGACTCACCCCACCCCCAGCGCCCGGTGCTTAATCCCACAGGAAGTGGGGCATCTGTCGGCAGCAGCTGCCACCCGGAGCCCAACCCCTCATGGCTGGGGCTGCAGGGCAGGCAGGGGCACAGGGTTAAGCACACTCCAGAACCAGCCCCAAAGCACCAGGTCTGGCCCAGGTCAACCCCCTTCCAGTCTCCTGCTTGTACACACTCGGGGCAGGGTTCTGACCCACTCCACTCCTCCACACCTGGCAGCGGCCCACCCTGCCGAGCCTCCTTACATGTATGTGGCAACTTGGCGCAGATCGGCAGGGTCCAGGTGATAGCCACACTCTTCCCAAGCCTCCTTGCAGGCCACTTCTTCCAGCGAGAGCCCAGGCTGGTCCACGATGCCGGCACAGAGTTCCACCATTACTCCCACGGAGCCGGGCAGTGCTGGCTTAAGTTCTCGGGGCTGCTCCTGGTCCACAGCTGCCAGCGACCCCGGAAAGAGGCGCTCCACCTCGCCTGCATACACAGCTGGTATGGGGAGTGGGGGGGGGTGGAGCAGGGCCACATGGCGGTCACCTCAGAGTAATCTACTCTGGGCCAGGCACATCTTGCTGGACCTCAGTCTCCTACAAACCCACCCACGCAGATGCTCAGGATCAAGGCCCTGAAAGCACACTGCGAGTCCCCCCTTCCCAACTCCTGGCTGCCCAGCTGGCCTCACCTGGCCGGAACTGCTTCACTAACACCAGGCTCCTCCGAGAAGAGTTGAACAGGAGAATGGTCACACTGCATGGGGGGAACAGAGCTCAGGAAGGACACGCTCCCCCCTCCCCAGAGCCCCAGACCCCCTTCCTCTCTTTCCTGGACAGCCCGGGAAAGGTAGGACCCTGCTCAGATGTGACACACAGTAGGTCCACTGCTCAGAGGGGCCGGCCACACAGTCAGGGCAGTTCACAGAACAGGGACAGTGGAGGCCTCTGCTGGCCAGTCTCCCAACTGTCACACCCCTCAAACCACGCTTCCCATCTCTGGATCCTCAGGAGTAAGATCAACAGATCTCTTCAGCCCCGGGAGGCCCAGCCTGCTCCCAGGGGCCTGGTGTCCCAGCTACTACAAGCCACCAGGCCTCAGGGACATGAGAACCAAAGACCAGATTGAGGTGGAAGGTATTTGAAGACATCAAAGAGAGCAGAAATCGGGGGATTCCTAATTGCCAGGCCAGCCCCTCCCTCACCTGTCATGTGTCTTCATGAAGTCCCAAGTCTTCTGGACACCATCCTGAAACAGGCATGGCGGCAGTCAGGAAGGGTGAGTGGCTGCCGGGACAGATGAGGGCCAGGCACACCCTCTGGAGCAGCCCCAGCAGCCTGTCCCCATCAGGAACAGGGACTTGCAGCAGGTGGGGGTGGGCGAGGTTTCCCCAGAGGTCAGGATAGACTGGTGTTCTGGGAAGGGTGGGCAAAGGGCAGGAAAGGCATTTCATGAGCACAAAGTACTACAGAGGCCTATGCTGCCAAGTGGGGAAGGACCCAGGAGGGCCCAGGAAGGGCAGACGTGACAGACACCCTCAGGCAGGGCAGGGAGGATCCCAGGTGGGCAGAGTACACGGCAGGTGTGCATCTGGCGATATCAGACAGACGGGGGATGCTTGCCCCGCCCGGCTTCAGGCTCTCTCTTAGACATCCCACAGTCCTGCTGGTCACACACGTGGGACACGCACGCAGCACTCAGGAACGGATGTCAATGGTGCTTGGTATACAAGGTCAGGAAGGCTACCATTCATCCCGGCGTCCTGGTAAGACAGGCTGTGCCTGGGGGCTGGGGACCTAGAGCCTGTCCGCCCCTACCTAACCCTTCCTGCTTAGTCCACCTCTGGGTCATTCAGTGAGCCCTGGCGAGCCCCACCACAGGTGATGAGGCCCCATCCAAGCTGCCAAACACACGGGAGCCTGGGTCCCACAGAGTGTGCGCCAGGGCAACCACGAGGGAGGGTGTTGAGGAGCAGCCACTAGGGCTCCCTTGCGTTGGCCCGAGAAGACACTGAGGGTTAGAGGAGGGAGACCCTGACCTGAGCCCACAGGCACAGACATCCCAGGAGAGTGGCAGCAACCTGGTTTCCAGGGGACAAAGACAGCCAACGTCCTGGGCAGGTCAGGCTGCCCAGGAGGCCGTTGACGTGCCACCCCACGAGGCGAGCCCAGGCCTGCCTGACATCCAGCCACCCAGGCGGGCTCCAAAGAAGCCGACCTGCCCAGACTGCAGTGGGCCTGCCTTGCCTACCCCTCAGCTTCCCTTTGAATAGGCATCACCCTGACTCCTAAGGACCCTCTTGACTCAAGGTCAAACATTTCGCTAGAGCCGTGGGAAGAGCCAGAGAAGCTGACATTGGCTCTGGGAAGGGAGACACAGGCCTAGAGTGCATTGGTGGACCGCATGCTTCACAGCCCGTTGGGGCCCTGATTCTGGCGAGGGACAGTTAAAGGCTGGCATTTCCCTACACAGTTCACAGCCCAGCCTCAGTATCCCATCCCTCAGCTCCCGAGGAAACGCTGCCCGCCCCGCAGCCCTCAGTACGGCTGCTGCCTGCTCAGCTGAGCTCTGGTTACCAACACCATCAGCGGAAATGTGCTGGTGGGCTGCCAGCCAAGGCTGCAAAACCAGCCCGCAGCACTTCCCAGGAAGTGAGTGAGGGAAGCCCTATTGTCACGGGCCATGGCAGAACTAGTCTGGACCACCTAGCTCCCACCACCAGAGCCCCAGGCCCTGGGTAGCAACAGCCACAAAGCCCATCCCATGTCCCCAGCCAGTGAAAGGAAGTGACCCCCATGTCCCTGGACTGAACCCCCCAACCCCCCAAGTCTGCACTGCCCATGGCTGCACCCTGGGAGAGGAGTTCTGGGGGCGGGGAACCTGTGCACGGCAAACACATGAGGGTCACGACCCTGATGAGGGAGGGTGTAACGGGGTGGGGGGTGGGTGTGCGGGGGGGGGGGTCTGACCAGGGCTGAAGTCCGGTCAGGGCTTACACTGATGGGTCAGGACAGTCGTGTGTGTCTGACAGAGAACGGAGGTGCGCAATGTGTCAAAAGCAAGGGCCTACTAGACGGGGTCATTCACGCAGGGCGGAGGAGCCTGCTGGAAGCCCACAGGGTGAGAGCAGAGAGAGCTGGCAGCAGCTAAGCTCAACAAAGGTTCTCTGTGGGCTTACTATGTGCCCCACGGGGCCGAGCGAGATAGCTATCAGTGGCCCTGTTGGCTCTAGGCGACACCTGGTAGCTGGGAAAGGCTGTGTTGGGGAGGGTTCTTGGAGGCGGTAGCCTTTCGGCTAAGGTTTGCAGGAGGAGCTAGAAGTTCCTCCCGTCCTGACATCCAAGGTAATCAATAGATCCAGTTGCCTAAAAGTATCGATGGGCGGTCGGAAATGGAGGGCCACTCGATCTGCCTTGGGGGGAAGAGAGACTGTCCTCGAATGTCCTTCCCGGGCCATTCCGGGTTGACCGAGTCAGACCGGCGGTCAGGACAGCAGCGGGGCGGAGCTTGCGCTCAGATCGAGACCCCCACCGGGGCGGAGGCATGAGCTCAGGGGGCGGAGCCGAACGCGGGGCGGGGCGGGGCGGGGCGGGGGTGGGGGGGCACCGGGGTTGGAGGGTGAGCCCGGAGAGGCGAGCGTGGGGCGGATCACCTGGCGGTAGTGCAGCGTGAGCGGCCGCAGGTAGGGCGAGCGCGAACAGGGGCCCACGGCCACCCCCTCGATGCGCTCCATGGGTGGCGCAGGGTTGAGTCTTCCGCAGACCGGAGCTGTCGGGCACGTCTACGCAACTTCTGGGCATGCCCAGTTCGTGCGGAGGGCGGGCCGGAGGGCGGGCCGCAGAGCCCAGGTAGCACCTGCAAGAGTCCAATCGCGCAAGGGAGGCGCTGTCCGGCTGCTCTCCAAGCCCGCGTAAAGGGGGTGAGAACTGGGTAGGGTAGAGGAGGCTTCCTGGTACCTGTGAAGCCCCCAGCGGGAACCAGAGGGGATCACCGGGGTTGGAAGTGAGCCGAGCGGGTGCCTGCCTGTGCCTGGGTAGTAACAACCCCACCCGCTCCCCAAGTCTGGGGAACCAGGGCAATCACTGGAGTGTACACACAGGGAGGGAAGGAAAACTTCTCTCGGAAAAAGGCAGAAGAGAGGTAGCTGGGAAGGAAGCTGTGAAGGAAGGTCAGAGAAAGGGCCCCAGCCCAGGGAGAGGCTGACCTGGCCTGGACTGCTCCCGCCTGTTCGAGAGAAAGCGCGACTTGTCTCTCTTCACAGAGGCCATGTTGTTGCTTACCACAGTGCACACATTAACCCAGCCAGACAGGCCTGCAGACCTACCCCATCAGAATGTCAGCCAAAGTCCCAGGCCACTCCAGATTCGGGGGAGGGATTCACAATATGGGCACATGATTGACTGGAGCCATTCTTGAAGACTAGCTCTCTCTCTCTCTCTCTCTCTCACACACACACACACACACACACACACACACACACACACCTCTTATAAAGCCCTGCGCTTCCCATCTTTAGCCTGGCCACCCAGCATCCTGGAGGTCAGAGTTACCACCAACCAGGAGCCCCTCTAGAAGCCCACCCCAGCCAAAGACCCCACAGTTGCCTTCCTCCTATTTCAGAGGCCTCCTTGCAGACTGTTCCTCCCGAGGGCGTGTGGAGGCAATAAGGGTCAGTCACAGAGCTCTGTACTCACCCTGGCCACCTGGGGCCTGCTTGCCAGGAAAATAGGAAGATCCTCCACAGAGCCTTCTGTTTGATGCTGGTGGAGTAGTATAAACTGAGGTGGCTAGAGTTTCCGAGGTCCCTGGGTCACAGCAAAGGGGGACCTGTGTGGAAGAGCAAGAAACATGTCTGTCCAAGGGGTTACATGTCTGTCCAAGGGGTTACATGTCTGTCCAAGGGGTTTTGGTCAGAGCCCAGAGTGGTGCTGATAGATGGGTGGTCATAGTCTCCATGGGGGCAGTGCAGGAGCCTGGCCGGAGAGGGATTTGTCAGGGGGTGGGGCATGAGAGGACACCATGCCGCCTGTGTCCCAAGACCAGAGAATCGCCTCTGTGTTTGGCAAGCCACTTCCCAGAGTTCCAGAGATCCCACTGAGTGCATGCCCAGCCAGTGCAGACAGCACAACACAGACACACAGTACAATGTCCTTACATGTGCTAGCTTTCAGCAAAACAGACTCCTACAAGGCCATTTCAGGATGCTGGGACTCCAAAACAATGTCCCTGGCCAGGGCTCAGGTGTCTGCAGACTTGTGCCTTCCGATCCTAGAAAGGCCCATACTCTAGTATGCAGCATATACCTACCTTCAAAACCAACACTGTGGGCTTTGCCCTCTGACCATTCCTGGCCCTGGTCTCTGGACTCTGGCCGGCATGTCCCCTGCTTCTTAGGACACTATGATCACATCTGGGGTCCCTGATAGCTAGGGCCTGTCTCAGCTCTGGGTCTTTCAAGCAGCCGCACATACAGAATTCTCGTTGCCCATGTGAACACAAAGCAGGCACACAGTAGGGCAGGTCATACAGGGAGCCGTGGGACGTAGATGGTCTGCCCACTGCTGGCTCAGAGATGGAAGACACTCTTGGACAGTGTCTGTCACCTGGACATGTCTAGGTGGGTGCTGGGTTCTGCCAGGGCCCTGTGCTTTTCTAGTGGGGTGATGGGTAGGTCTGGATACTGAAGGGGACCGTACAACAAGGACCCGAAGAGACAGAGTGGCTGGAAGGGCTGTGTCAAGGCTGAGAGGCCATGTAACTCTGGAACACTGAAGCCTCTTCTTTCTGGTAACCTAACAGAGCTGAGGGCCTGCCCCTGCCTTCCTGTGTGTCAGCTGTGGCTGAGCAGACAGATCTGTGAGAAATAGCCATCCTCAGCTCTCCCCACGCCACTCCCATTCCAAGCAGAAGTCATGCCCAGCACCCCTTGTTGGAATGTGCTTATTGTACATGGAAGGGCAACTGTGATCCGGTACAAACCTCTAGCTGGGATCAGCTTCCTCTGATCAGCTCCAGGGGTTACCCCCACCCACCTGTAGGCCAGTGAGGTGGCCTCACTCCAGCCTGCCTCCCTTGTGCTGGACAAGGGCCTGAGTGCTGTGGTGGCCAGACCTTCCAAGTGCCTGTGTATTTGCTTGGGGCAGCCAGGCTAGAGTTGCCAAGGAGCTGGGGATATAGGCCAAAGTCAGAGTGACTTCTAGGACAGAGGGGGGTGGGGTGGGGCTGAGGCTGGTGGAGTTCTCTACCTGTCTGTCTTTTTCTGCATCTGAACTTTTTTCCAGAACAGATCTCACATATGCGTGCTGAGGTTACAGTTGTGAGCCTCCACTGCGGGCTTGGAACAGATACAGGTGTCTATTGTTTGGGGATATAAGCCCGATGGCCTGAGTTCAGTCTCTGAACCCACAAAAGGTAGGTGCCCGCCCGTGACACACCTCCCCTGCTACCACCGTACTGTGCGCATGACTGTGCGAGTCCCTCATAGCTGTTGGGCATCTTTCTCCACAACTGTGCATCTCATTGACGCCGCCTCCCTCCCGAAGAGCTGAGATCGCAGACATGCGCCCTGCTTTTGTTTGGGTGCTGGGATCTGAGTTCAGGTCCCCCCGCTAGTGTAGCAGGAGCTTTGCCCACTAAGCTATCTCTTTAGCCCCTCAGAACAGATTTCAAGAGGAAGAGGTCCCTGACCACCAGCTGTGGCCTCGGCCATCCTGAGCACACCTTGGGCATGCATGCATAGTCTGTGCCAGACTCTGCGGAGACTTGCAGCAGGCTTCTGGGGAGTGAGGAGTAAAGGACATGGAGTCAGGATATTGCCCAGGTTTTCTGGCCCAAACAGCTAGAAAGAGGCCAGCCGAGCAAAAGCAGGCTGTGGTGTTTTGCTGTGGGATGGAGGCTGGGCTTTGGCCTCCTCTTCTAACTGTGAGGCATCTCAGGGGACATGGGTATCTACAGCAAAAGAAGGAAGCTGGTGCCGTGCCAGGCACCAAACACAAAATTAATTCAAGTGGATCAGAGGCTTGGACACCAAGGTTCAAAGCTGCTAGGGATTAGGGGGACAAGGAGGGCAGACACTCATGACATCCAACTTGCCAGTGACAGCCAAAGGGGAAGCAGGCACATTGGACCATGAAAATAAAATCTGTCTGGCCCGTGGTGGTGCACGCCTTTAATCCCAGCACTTGGAGAGGCAGAGGCAGGCGGATCTCTGAGTTCGAGGCCAGCCTGAACTACAAGTGAGTTCCAGGACAGTCAGGGCTACACAGAGAAACCCTGTCAGAAAGAAAGTGTAAAAATCTTTGTGCATCAGAATATGGCTGTGAACGGATGTATGAATGTACCTATGTATGCTCTGCCATGCAATGGAGTACTGCTAAGCCTTCAGAGGAAATTGTGGCCCATGCCACAAATGAACTCTGGGGCGGAATGAAATAAGCCAGTCAAAAGAAGGTATGAGGCCTCTGGTGTAGTCAGATTTGTAGATGCAGGAGACAGGCGGTTGGGGAGTTACATAGTGGGGACAAGATTTTAGTTTGGGGAGATGCCAGTGTTCTGGTCTGAACATAATGACCGTGAATTTAATGCCACTGAACTATACACTTAAAAGTGGTTACAACAGCCGGGTGTGGTGGCTCACACCTTTAATCCCAGAACTCGGGAGGCAGAGGCAGGCGGATCCCTGTGAGTTCCAGGACAGCCAGGGCTGTTACACAGAGAAGCCCTGTCTCAAAAAAACAAACAAACAGTGGCTACAACTGGATCCTGTAATCCCAGTATTGAACAGGTAGAGAGGTAGGAGGCTCAGAAGTTCAAAGTCCACATCTGCCACATGAGACACTGTCTTAAAACAAACTAAAATAAATAAATAAATAAATAAGGTGTACTTTAAGGGAAAAAAGCCAAAACAAAAAAGAAAAAAACAAACGAACCGACATGTAAAATAAAAATTAAAAAAAAAAAGCAACCAAACCAAACAAAACAAAAAAAAAAAAAAAAAAAAAAAAAAAAAAAAAAAACCAGTCTCAAAGTTAGCCTTGAACTTTCAGCAATCCTCCTGCCTCAGACTTCCTTAGAGTGCTGGGGTAACAGGTGCGCACCACTTGGGGACCAGCAACAGTGTGTGAGCTACCGAGGGAGTCCCCAGCTGTGATTTTTATTGCTCACGTAAAGCAATGCTTTGAATTTCATTGGGGCATGTGTTTCTTTTTCAATTAAAAATCATTTTCAAGCGGTTAAGATGGCAAATGTTGTTATTCGTGTATGTTACTCCCACTGAGAGAAAACGTTGAATGAGGCAAGGTGGCTGGGGGAGAGAGGCAGCCAGAAAGAGCAACGTGTCTCACGGCCTTCGTCCGTATCCCCTTAGCTGTCTCCTCTGCTCCCCTCCAGAGGTCCCACGGTGAGGGTGCTGAGGCCTCCGCATCATAGCATCACATCTATGGGCATCACGGCTGCCCTCGCTCCTCCTAGTGTGCTCTAGGAGGCTGTCTCTGATCAGGTGCCCAGCTCTGAGCGACTCCTCAGAGCCACCTCTCCCTAGAGGTGTGATCTAATGCACGCTGCTGCCTCAGGGTCCCTTTCAGGCCCCTGCAGTCCACAGGACAGGTTCCTGCGTCCTTCACTAGGACTGGGCTCCATTCAGCTGGCTGCCTGTTCCTGTGAGCTGACCTCCCCATGCGCCGCCACTGTAGACTCTGGGTCTCCAGGAGACGGCTGTGTTGTAGACTCAGAAACCGAGAGCCCC